GAGAGAGAGAGAGGGGATAGAAAAAAAAAAAGAAAAATGAATTAATTTTTAGAAAAGATAAGGTAGGCAAAAATGTTTAAATGCTAGACAACAGCTATTACAATGAATAAATAGTCGCCTAACGTTGTCGTCATCATCATCATCAATGCTGTTTATGGCCTTAAGGCTTTTAGATTGGCAAAGCATAAACTAGGCCTATATGTTCCGCCCAATATTCATACTATTGGATAAAGTTATATGTGCAAAAATATAAACCAAACAATACTTATTTCCGTTTTTTTTTTTATTATAAATCTGTGTAACTTTCATTTCCTTATATTTATCGTTTTAAAAATGAAAATATATACTAATCTATCATTAAATTCCTAATAATCGGATAGAAAGTACTAGAAAAATAGTGGAAAAGAAAATGGAAAGGGAAAAAAAAACATTGATTTAATTTTAAATTGCCAGTAATTAGAATAGAAAAATCATAATCGATTGCTATTGTTGTTGTTGTTGTTGTTGTTAGCTATCCTATAAATCTTGATAATTTTGTTGACTCTCTAGAAAATACAGAAACCAATATTAGTCTTTGCTAATATCTTATGACACATACACGTAAACAAATTCACAGCTTTAACAATTTACTAAAATGAATGCTTTCTTCTTCATCTTCAAAATAACGTCTCTCTCTCTCTCTCTCTCTCTTTCCTTCCCTTTTTCACTCTTCCTTGTCCTAAGTGATCATCTAATCTTAAGAAGCCTAGCCTCTTCTCATCCCACTTTAAAAAGCCTAGTCTTTTCTCATCCCACTTTAAAAAGCCTAGTCTTTTCTCATCCCACTTTAAAAAGCCTTAGTTTTTCCTCATTCATTTCAAGAACCTTAGTCTTCGCAAATTCTTTCACTTCTTTCTTCCCTCCCTCTTTTTACCAAAAAAAAAGAAAAAAAAAGAAAAAAAGAAAAGAGGAAAACTTTACTTTACCCATCTAGCAATCTTCATTTAAAGAAGCCTAGTCTTGCTATCTTTCTTCTGGCCATTTTCATTCAAAGAATTTTAGTTCCAACTATTTTCTTTCTGGCTACAACTATACAACACAAATCTGCTTCATTCAAATGTTTTAACTCGTTGATAATAATCCACTTCCACTCCACTCCTTCTTTCTCTAACATCAAACACAACAAACAACAACAACAACGATAACAACAATAACAACAGTAACGACAACAATAACGATAATAACGACAACAACAACAACAATAGCAACAACAACAATAACAATAACAACAACAATAATAACAGCAACAACAACAGGAGCAATAGCAACAACAACAACAATAACAATAACGAAAACAACAACGACAATAACAACAACAACAATAAGCACAACAATAACAATATCAACAACAACAATAACAACAAATGATTGCAGCACTACTGGCTGATGATCTTTGACCTTCATTCACTACTTTTATATGTTATCCTAAAGATAACAAATTAGATAAAAAAAAGAAAAAGAAGCATGAGCAACCTATAAATGTGATAAGAGAAAGGACTGAGAAGTGAGACGAGATTGAAAAAAAATAAGCAATTGTTAAACGGAAGGATAGATTGGATGGGAAAGGAAGAATGTTGTCGTTGTCGTCGTCGACATGTTTGGAAAGATGGCGGAGGACATTTTGTATCACCATTACAATCATTAACACTATATCACTATCACTATCACGATCACAATCACTAAACACTATCACTGTCATCAAAATCATACACCACCAACATTACTATCATTAACACTATATTATCACTAATACAATTATTAATAATATGTTGCAATCATTATCATCAATACCTACATTAATACGATTGCTATTATTTGTAGATAATCTTAATTCCTGTTAACTTTTTTATTCCAATCATTATGACAATGATTTGGACAATAACAATAACAACAACAATGATAACAATGATAATAATAATAATGATAATAAATTTAATAATAATAAATAATAATTAATAATAATATATGTCAACTTACCGGTATAATTTAAACAAGTTATAAATGGTTATTTGAAAAGCGGAACTAAAGTGGTACTACTACTAAATACAACTACAATAACAAACATATATAATAAACATACACATAGACATACACACATACATATGCATACGTTCATATACATATACATGGTTACATACATACACACACATACATACATACATACATACATACATACATACATACATACATACATACATACATACATACATACATACATGCACATACATATAGAAATGACTGAAGTAACGAGGTGCTGACTCATCATCACCTATTGCACCTGTTGCAGTGCTATGGCAATAGATGATGATGAGTCAGCACCTCCTGATGATATATTTATTCATAGGAAGAGATGCATCACAGTCATTGATAATCAACTCTCTCTCTCTCTTTCTCTCTTTCCTTCTTCCCTTCTCTTTCTCTTTTCATTTTCTAATTTCTCTCTCTCCCTCTCTCTTTCTCATAATATATCTCATTAATTAATTAATCTACAAATGTTTAATTTAAATCACAAAAAAGAATATTTATATCAAATAATTTAAATAAATTATAGCAACATTTTTTTTTTTTGAAAATTTCATTTTTATATATAAAAATGAACAAAGATCAGAAATATATAATAATTTAGAAAATAATTAATAAATTACCATTTTTTTTCAATTATTTCGAATATATTTAATGCTATAATTATATAATCAATTTCCATTATTATTTTTACAAATTACACGTATTTGATATAATATCACAATCATTTCATGTTCTACAACAAATGTTTTGTCATTTGATTCAATTACACATTACATGATGAAATAATCTATCAATCCATCAGTGACAATCTTCGAAAAAAAAAAAAAATCTTTTTTCTGATGACAATTCTCAACAAATCTTTCATTTATTTACAACATTTCACGACACATTTGTTTTCAAATTAAGTATTTCTATAATCAACCAATTCTAAATGTCAATTCATGATCAATGAATTAATTTATACATATTTCATAAAAAAAAGAAACTTTACAAAAGATTTATGTCACGCTACTTCATAAAAACCTCATTTCATATTAGTTAAGAAAAGATTTGTGTCACATTATTTGACAAAAATTTATTTCACATTTCACCATTCTTAGCTATTTTACTTTTTCCTAATCAACAATTTAATTTTGACAAAAAAAAAAAAAGAATCCATGAAATAACTTTCTATTAGGTAACTTTTAGAAAACATAGTACAAACGTACACGTACACACGTACAGACATATCCACATGCGAACATATACTTATATATATGGACGTACACGTACACACGTACAGATACACGTACAGACATATCCACATGCGAACATATATTTATATATATGGACGTACACGTACACACGTACAGATGATATACGTACCGACATATGCACATGTGTGAACATATATATATGTGGGAAAATAAAAATTGTTATCGGTCGGTATTTCGAAAATATCATCCTTTATTTATCGCTTTTACCGTTCTCCCGCTTTACCGGTGAAAATCAATGATCATATTCCTGTTCTCCTGCTTTACCGGTGAAAATCAATGATCATATTCCTGTTCTCCTGCTTTACCGGTGAAATCAATGATCATATTCCTGTTCTCCTGCTTTACCGGTGAAAATCAATGATCATATTCCTGT